TGTGTGTGTGCGTGTGCGTGCGTGCTGTCAGTGCATGTGCCAGGTGTCAAAGGGAGATGTCGAGTTGGCTGTGCCCCTGGATGCGAATGTGCTGACATGGATGAACGATTGGATTGACAGTGTGTCGGATGCACAGGGCATCTGCACGAACTTGGCTTCGAAGCCCCTTTGTCTGCAAGAAGCGGTAGTTGTCCTTCGCCGTCGCTGAGTTGCGAGCTTTTTTTTGTTGCCATGCTGGCCTTGCGTGAGGCTGGACAAGTTCGAGTCCCAACAGGAGCTGGCCGCCTTGATCATCCAGAGTTCCAATGGTATGGATACCCTGCGGAAGCGGATGTCTTCTTTGGACAAGACAAGCCCACAGCTGCGCGAGCAGGCTCAGGAAGTCACTCAGCTCGCAGTTCCTTTCATTATGGCTTACAAGAAGCACACGAAAACTGCGATGAACTTGCTTCCCGGCTGCAGCTTGGGGGCAGTCTCGTGCATGGTGCATGGTTTTAATTAAGGGATGCCATGATCACTCAATGGCAGGATCTCTGCTGCGAAGAGAGAGGAGAATGCGGCCAAGCCCAAGAAGAAGAAGACGGATGAGTCGCTGGAGGAGGCTGCTGAGCTCGCTGAGTGATATGATCCCGAGCTGTGGGTTTGAGCATCGTTCGATCTTGCATCGTGTGCAGGGGCCAAGTGCTGTATATAGCCTCCAATATAGATAATTTGATAGAACCTGGGCTATCGCTGTCTCTCCGTATGTGTGTGTAAATATATATGTCCATGTATGGAACTTGGCCTTTGCATCTCAAGCGTAGTTACTCTCGACTTTGTGTCACTGCACTTTGGGATGCTAGATCGGACGATTGCGTGCAAGGGCACTTGTGCCGCAGGTGCCATCTGACACTTAGGGGCAACGGTCGGGGGCTGACGACTCTCGATTGCGGGGCATTTTGCCGTGCAGGCTCTTTGAAAACTCGTTTCGAGATGCATTGAGCGGTACTTGCAAGGTTTGTTGGAGCATGCTGCCTTTTTGAGCAAGCATGAATGTGCAGTGATGTCCGAGTGCCGCAGACGTGTACGAGCAGTTGTGTATCGCAAATCTTGAAAGCCATTGCTTGAATCCTTCATGACTGCTTCTGCTGTGGGACGATGGAGCATATATAGTCACATGAACATACAATATCTTTGTATTTCGTTTTGGCCATGCACATGTGCTCGGGCCTCGAAGCTACATGCATAATTCGTCAGTTGAGTGCAATGTAGATGGTGCCGCACTGCAGATGCAGCATGGAGCATGCTTGCAGCCCAGACCGGCCAAGCGGCCATGCACTTTGGATCTTCGGCGATCACCCTTGATGCGATGGGCTGCCAAAAAGGTGGGCCAGGGTGCCGAGGCCAGTTTGTTCCAGGAAGTTGCTGAAGCATCGTTGGCTGAAGCGAGATCGACTGGACATGGACGGTCCGTTTTGACGAAAAGCAACTTGCCTTAATTGTACGGTCCGTTTTGACGAAAAGCAACTTGCCTTAATTGTACGATTTCTGCTATCTGCATGCCCTGTGTTCGTGAGTTGTTGCATGCATGGGACGGGCTAATTCTGTTTGTACGGTCGAGGAGGCGGTGGGCATTGCAACAGGGAGCTTCGGGCAAACGCCCTGACCATGCTGAAGAGCAAGCCCATGCTGCTCTTCAACGCAGTGCTGATGCATTTTAGATGCATTGTAACCTTTCGCACATGTTGGGATGTGCATGTGTTTTGTCCGCTTCGATTGTGTGAGCCCAGGCTTTGAAATGCAAGATTTCCTGGATTACTTTGCCTGTGGTGGAGCTACGCACGGTGAGACGCCTTAGAGGTCAAACTGCTCTTTCCGAGAGTCGCGGCCGTGGTGGCCGCCGCGGCCGTGGCCGTGGCCGTGCCCCTAAGCGTAAGCCTTTGAGCAAAAAGGCCCTGGCAAAGAACATCGTCTTCAAGAAATGGCCGGTGATCTTTCCGAGCGCTATGGCCCGAGCTCTCATCACCTATCCACATGGGGATTCCGCGAGATCCTTCTTGAGCTTCGGCTATGTGTGTACTTGTGTCCACTTGTTTGGTGTTTGATGCGCTGCAATGTATGATGCATGCTTTGAGATCTTATAGGAGTGGCCCTGGAAATGTGGATTGGACAAAGTTCTGGGAGGACTCACGGCAAGAGCTGTGGGGAAGGTGCCTCGTAAGCACCGTCTGCAGTGCTTGTGCATGCTGGTGCTTCATGTTCATGTTGGCTGCTGCCAAGGCACCACCCAGTTCAGCAGATGACGAGGGCACAACGTTCTCTTGCTCATCCGATATATGTCCATGGTGATGAGGGCAAAGGGAAACGTGAGCGGGCAGTGATGATACTGTCGTGGGGGACTTTCTACATCCGGCCCAGTACCAATGTGCTTCATTACAAGTTTCCTTTTGCAGCAACTCGGCCGCACATCCGGATGTCCACACATGTGTTCGAGCCCTTGAATACTCCGTCGGTGTGCTGCAATTTGCTTCTCAGGTGATTCGGGGGGCTTGCATGGCAGAGGATGCCGCTGGAAGAAATCAGACGCTGCATGTGCTGCAGGAGCACCTGGTGAAGAATCTGGAGCGATGTGCGCACCCCGACAGGTGCCCGGATCTGCAGGGCATTTCCTTGCAGTACATTTGCGGCCGTGGGGACTGGAAGTTTAAATGCGCGTGGCTGGCAGAGACTCGGAGCTATCAGAATCTTCGAGCGAATGCATCACTCGCTGCAAGCTTTTGTCGCCGCTGCAAGTGTACATCCAATATTGAGCATATGCACTGGGCCGACTACTTGCACTTCTCCTGGCATGACCCAGCTGCTGTGCTCGAAACTTTGGATGCGAACAGCCCACAAGACCTCCCGTGATCTCGGCTTCACTTTATCATATTTTTTATACAGCTTATCATATTTGTTATAGCTTATCATATTTTTTTAATTATATAGCTTAAGGCTGTTTTTTTCTGGCATGTGCAAAGCTTGCTGCCAAGATTCTAGGCTCCGCAAGCTGTCCGGCTGGAACTGCGACATGGAATGTGCCGATTTGCTGCACACTGTATGGGTTGGCTGTGCCAAAGATCTGGTGGGCTCGGTGCTACTGGATGTGGTGCAGTACGATCCCCGCCTGGCAAACTCTGATTCGTGGGACTCGGGCTTGGCAGCTCTGCTCTCGCTTTTTCACTCTTGGTGCGAGACCCGCAAACTTGACAAAAGCCTGGTGGAGGAACTGAGTTTGGTAAAGCTTGGTGTTACAAACGCTGTGCAATTTGATTTCCCGAAGGGAATGAGCAAGGCTTATCCAAACAAGGTCCTGGTTTACTTCCTGGCCGACCTGCTTCAGGCCACGACGGTTCCGGAACTGAAGCGCCAGGCTGTGGCATGCTGGGCCTTGGCTAACTGGTCGTACGTGATCGACATGGCCGAGGTTTTTTTGACAGATGCTGAAGCTCGACAAGCAGTTGAAAGTGCCAAGCTCTACTTGCAGTGCCACATGCTTCTGGCGAGGCTTGCTTTGGTGGCAGGGCGGCCAAGGTACAAGATCAGGCCGCGCATGCACTCCTACGCATGCGAAATCGTCGCTAAAGTGGACAGTGGCTCACGACTCAATCCAAAACATACTGCGTGCTTTGCAGACGAGTCGTTCGTTGGAAAGATCTGCAGTGTTGGCCTTTCGAGACCGGTGCACACCTCCACGTTGCACTTAAGGCTTCTGCAGCGCATGATCATGCAGCTGAATGCTCAGGTCGCGAGCTGAAAAACGAAGGAGTGCGAGTGATTGCAAGCAGATTCCCGCATCACGAGTCCCTGCCTGCATGTTTGTTCAGTTGCGGTCTGAGGGTCACAAAAGCACTTCAAGCCAGTAGACCCCCACTCTCACGAGAGTTTGTTTGATTCCTGTTGCCTCTCATTCTTTTCGACTCTCTCGATTCTCTTCGCTCGATACACACATAAACATACATGCATACATACATACATGTATAATATACGTATACACATGTACACAAACGTACCCTAAACTACCTAAACCCTAGACCCTAAACCCTAAATCCCAAACCTTAAGCCCTAAACCCTAAATCCTGGCTTGGCTCAAGTTTTTCGGCTCGAAAACCTCCTTCCTGGGTGAAAGAAGCTCTCCTGACCCCCCCCGTCCGGTCTGTTGTCAGCGTCGATGGGTGATGCCACGATGGATGATGAGGAAACCCAACCAATGCACCCTTCCGACGTAGACGAAAGCCCGCTCCATTCCGTCAAACCAGATCTCGCGGCTGTTGCAATTGCGATGGAAGACCGTCGGGCTCACACAGAAGCCCTGCGGGATGCTGCTTCGGCGGCCGCTTCAGGGGCTCCCGGCGACAAACTAGTGCTCCCCCTTCCCAGCAAAATGCTCTCAGTGCAGCACCTGCTTTGGGCCCTGCGTTCAGTGCAGCACCTGCTGCTGCCATCGGGGCAGGCGGCCGCAAGGAAGGTAAAGGGCCTAAGGATCGGCTTGAGAGTCCTGAGAAGAAACATAAGCCTGATAGGGTCCGACGTGAGGGCCTTGGCCCCGCCCCTTTGTTCGGAGGGAGTATGCCATCTGCCCTCACAGCTGTTCCTAAAGAGATACCTCCCCAACCTACTCGCCCCGGAGGACAGCCAGAGTTTTATAACCTGGATCCGCAGTCTCCCCCTGCCTGGGTTCATGACTTGAGAGACATGATGGTTGGTGGTCAGCGGGAGTTGATGAGTGAGCTTCAGTCACACAAGTCCCACCTAGCTCATGTAGTCACTCAGGTCCAAGGCATAGATGACCAGCAGCAGGATTTAGCTAAAGCCCACAAGGAAATGCAGCACCGCATGAGCAACATGGAAGCCGAAGTCAGAAACCTAAAGTCGAGATCCCGCTCGGTTAGCCCAGCCCCTCCCCTGCCCGACCAGAGCCCAAGATCAACGACAGCAAGCACTGCAGGGGGCAGACCTCAGGTTGATGACTTGCAATTGGTTATCGGTGGCTGGGATGATGCGAAGAGAGGAGAGATCGAACAGGAAGTCCGAGAGCTTTTCTCGAAGATTGAAGCCTCACCCCTGTTGTTGAATATTCATGTTCCTTTCGTGCGCAGCAGGTTTGCAAGAGTGGAGCTACTTTTCACAAGCAGTAGCATTGCAGAACGACGTCGCATCCAGACCTTGACCCTTGAAGCCCTAAAAAAGGCCCTTGTGGACTACACCAGTGCGATACAGGGGCAGCAAGCAAAACGCCTTTGGGTCACGAGAAACAGATCCAAGGAGGACAGGGAGAAGATCCGTGCACTTGTTAGTATGAAGGACTATGCAAAGCGCTACCTTGACGAAGGCCAGATCGATCTAGACTGGCGGGGGCGACTTTGGTTGAAGGGAGAACAGGTTCTTTACTGGCATGTATGGAAGAAGCCCGTTGATGGTTCTGTGATGTTGACTAATGCAGCTGGGGATGAAACTGGATGGTGGGTTGATTCAGACCAGTTCGCAAAGCTTCTCAACCTGCCGGCAGACCAGGTTAGACAGGAGTTAACGGATTGACTAGTTCACCAAGCAAGCCAGAAGCCGAAGAACGTTGCAAAGGAAATTAGGGAATTTGTTCCAATGACTTGGAACTTGCACGGTAAACATCTGTCAGCCTTGAAGAACCTTCTAGACAGACTTGAGGACCCTTTTGATCTTCTCTGTCTGCAGGAGGTTGGAGGATTTTCTCATCTCCCCGTTGGGGAGACAACTCTTGAATTCATAACTCTCTCAGACGTCTCGTATAAGGCTTACGTGTACCAAGCACCCCAATCACACCGATGTGTGGCAGTATTGATCCGAGAAGACCTCGACATTCACATTTCGGTGCGGCATCTTTTTGGCACAGGGTTCCTTCTCCAGGGCAGGGCTATGGGTAGATCCTTTTGGATGGGTACCGCCCATCTTCCCCATCAGCAACGCCCCGACGCTGAGGAATGTTGGCTTTCGAGCCTGGCTAGACTCGACGAAATCCTAGCCGAAGCAAGGTATCAGGATGTTATCGTGATGGGATTAGATGCCAACCAAGACCCTCTGAATTCGAATCCACACTTTCCTGCACTGTCCCGCCTTCAGTTCCTTGCCCGACACCGCGGACTGGAATTCAACATGCATGTGGGGGCCACGTGGGAGGCCAGGGGAGAATTCAGTACCATAGACTGGTTTCTGTTTAGATGGCCAATGATGGAGATGTCTGTTCACCTTCGGCCTGACTTGCGTACTGCACTTCCTTCAGATCACAATCCCTTGGTAGCATGTTTCACCGGTAGAGCAGGCCTCAAGATGCGACCCCGAAGACCAAGGCACGGATGTGGAAGATGGAGTGTCCCCGATAAACCACTTGAAACGTTGGCTCAGGACCCCAGTATTCCATTCGACCCGGACGCTTTCGCTAAGGTCTGTCGTCAACATGGAACCCGTCTTCCAAATCGAAGATACAAAGACCCCCCTGAAGTGCTTGAACTGATTAGAAAACGTAAATTGGCTTCGGACCTGCAGGAGCGAACCAGGCTGGCTTCTGAAGTTTCTAAGGCACGAAATGAAGCCCAGAAAAAACATAAACTCGACCTCCTGAACGCAGCTCGCTCAGGCGACAGAGCGGCTATCGCACACCTTAGGAGGAGTGCAAGCCAGACCTTTTCAGATGGTAGCCTTATTGAGCGCTTAGGTGGGGAGGACGAGGCTTTCCGAGCTTTCCGGACATTCTATGAAGCGAAGTACTCTAGACCCCAAACGGAGCCCGATGTCTCCCCTGATCAACAGTCTGCAATGTTTGAGCGGCACCAAAATGCCAACACTGAAAGAATCACAGATGAGGAAATCGCGGAGGCCCTCTCTGCAACCAAGCCCTCAACCTCTTCCGGCTTGGACTCTGTCTGTTACGGGGCCATTGCCTCCTATCATAAAGGAGACTCACAAGGCAAGCTGGCCTCCTTCTTTACGGACATCTTGCTAGGCAACAAACCTGTTCCCCAGGACTGGCTAGTCGGTAAGATTTGTTTCCTTCCCAAAGTGCCTAGGCCTACCCAGGTAAAGGACCTACGACCCATCAGCCTAACACCGTGCCTCGGCAAGTTATATAGTAAAATACTGGTCAAGCGGCTTCGCCTGACACTACATGACTACCGAGCTGGCCAACATGCGTGTCGGCCAGGGACTCAGGCTTTGGAAGCTATCACAGCTGCACAAGCCACCATGAAACTTTACCGTCAGTCAACCGGCAAACAGCTACTGGTCGCTAAACTCGACATTAGCCAAGCCTTTGATACCCTCAGCCATCATGCCATCTGGCGGTACCTTGTTGATGCGATGCCCAGCAGGGAAGCACTGTCTCTTTGGCAACTGTGTAGAAACACGAGCATCAAATTACAAATAGGATCCCGTACATGGCATCAGGGTCTCCACCGTGGTGTCCTTCAAGGCACTTCCTTTAGTGCTGACTTGTTCTCCAGGGTGTTGGACTATTTCGTCGGAGGGCTCACGGATAGATGGAAGAGAGAAGAAGGGGAGGTTTTCAGAAGATTCTGCCTTCCACATGCTCTCTTGTTCGCAGATGACATATTAGTGTTTGCTCCATCAGCAGCAGACATGCAACAGAAAATCCGAGCCCTCCAAAGTACGCTAGGTACTATTGGACTGAAGCTCAACTTATCCAAATGTGCAGTCCTCGACGGCGAAGACGGAACGACCCCAGGTATTTGGGGTAAAGGGGCAGCTGCCCCCCTGCAAGGAGCAGAGAGCCTGCTGTACCTCGGAGTGCCACTAACCTACAAAAGTAACCCCCTAGGCCAGTTAGGAGTTTCTCTTGCCAAGGTTTCGGCCGCTTTCTTTGGTCTGCGCAGGTTGTTCGATCACCCGGACACTCCGGTTTCAGAGAAGTTGGCTCTGTTCCAGTCCTACATCACTTCCAAGTGGGCTTGGTGCGCTCCTTCGGTATACCCTAGCTCCAAGGCTTTGAGAAGTTTGGAAGCTTTCAAACATACTCTGTTGCTCAGCTTGCTGAAGATACAAATTGACCCGCTTCAACCCTTCCTGACCAACACAATTGCCAGGCGCCGTTCCGTTAAGGTGAGGTTTTCAATTCCCCGCGCTGGGGACAGGTGTGGCTTTCGCGACTTTGGACTTTCTGGGGTCATGCACTGAGGTCGCGACAGAACTTGCCCCTAAGGCACATCCTCAATAAGTGCTCCTCCTACAGAGTACTTTCCGGGAGAGTTCCTGCATCACACCTGCAAGATTTCTTGCCCCGAAAATTGCAGCTGGCCTGGAATCTTTTACGGGGAGATTCCCCCTTTGCGGATGTCGAGAGCTTATCACAGGACCGGGAGGGATGGCTTCAAGTTCTGCCCCTTTGGCTTCGGAAATGGGGATACGGTGGCTCAGAAATAGCCAAACTCCCTAGTAACTACTTGCAGGACAGACAGCTTCTCATTGTCGGCACTTCCCTTGCGGTTTTGCGCCCTGCAAGGGTTTTTCCTGATGAGCCCTACAGCAGGGAATTGCAGCACGTACATGTATGTTCGCCGAATCGATCGAAGTGGATCTTGTGGTGCTCCCTTCTGACAGAGGGAACGACGGTGACCCTAATTCCCCCTAAGAGCCTCAATCGCCAAGCCTGCCACTTGCAACAGCTGTGTGTCAGTCAGGACCTTCTTACAAGACGCCTCGTGTTGTGGGATACTTTACATGTACTGTGGAATGCATGTCCTGAACTTCAGGATAATGATGCACTCTGCCTCCTCCCGCGAGAAGCCTTTACACAACATATGTTTTGCCACCAGGTACCATTGTCGTCGTTGAGTCAGGTTCAGGCCCTTGAGAGAAAGGAAGTTTCATGTGATTTCCTGCAGCACTGTCACCTCCAGCCGAATAAAACTCCGCCCTGGATCCAGGAATCCCTGACAAGCACCTTCGGACCTTTTCCCGACGGGTACCTGTTTTTAATCAGGACCCAGGACTTCACGTCT